TTTCTGATCCTGACATGACAAGTAACTCTAATAGCAATATGTTTAAAGATGATTCCTCAGCACGAGAAATTTCCACAAACTGGTGGCAGGAAACAAAGCACTGAGATTACGCTGGAGTACGCCATCCAAGGCATGCCATCATGGAACCCTCCACGAGGGAAGCGGGTAGTTCTAACGCCTGCTCAGTTGGGCCGCCCACTTGCTAGATGCCCTTTGACGGCGGGCCGCTCAGTTGTTCTTTGTTGGGGCGGCGAAATCGAAATCAAATTCGATTTTTAAATCTAAATCTTAAATCGAACTTAATCAACAACAAAAATTAATCGAAATTCCATGTCCTTTTCGCTGACCACGCTCGTGCCCATAAGTACTTAAATACATTTTATTCATTAGGAGCACATGTCAGCACGGTCAACAGCAACCATTCTCGCAAGGTGAAACGCGTAAAATCACGAGTGATGCAATTTTCTTGGTGCAAAAGCTCGACGCACTAAAAGATGCACGCTACCGTAACCCTAAATTCGTACGCCGAGTTTTTGAAAGTTTCTTTTTGTCAAGAGTTTTCCGTCGGTGTTTTTGTTGTTTTTCGTATTCTTTTCTTTGCACTGGATGATATCCACTACTGGGAGATGCGATAAAGCGATTTGTGAGCCAGGGGTTGCACAGAGACCGCAGGGCGGTGTCTGTCAGGGAGCGATTTTGTTCATGGTGTTCTTGAGGACCCTTCTTGCTTTTTTTCTTTTTTTGGGGATAGATTTTCATAAAGGCTTCCTTCCGCTGTAAGGGTAGAGAACGCTATTCCACACATTTTTCTCGCGCTGATAAGCCTTATCACACCGCCGTTTTATGTGACATCAAATATCAAAAATGGAAGTTTTTTCGCACCCGTCTTGGTTATAGGGTGTAACGGCCTAGAAAGAGGCGAAGGTGGTGTAGTGTCAAGTGGCCGCTTATCACACGCGCGTCCGGGGGTCAAATCGCGGATCAGCTACCGCTCGGGCCGAGCTTTCTACTCTCCGGAGACGGTATTGGTACCAGATTCGTCTGGGAGGACAAGAACCCACAAGTAATTGTACAGACCACATCGCATTCAGTAAGCCACTACGATTCTGAATGGAAGTAGAATGCGTGGCGCATCCCAAAAAGGCTAAGTTCTTATCCTTATTCTTATCCGTTTACCAGCCTGGAATCGAGCTCAGGTCGGACGGATGACAAACGAATAGTTTGTCATTGACGTCATTGTCTATTGTGACGTCAAGACTCAACAAGCATTCCTATACTCTTTCTGGTCAGGACTGCTGCTCTTCTCATACAGTGCGCCTCGCTTCCCTGATATTTGACTCTTCCAAGATGCTGGCTGAAGGTGAAGGAATCATGAGGTAAGCGCAGCATGAACTGATTTGCTTGAAGTTAAATGAATACACTTGGCTCAAGGGATTCAATTCTTGCCATGTGGAGATGAATGGTTCTGGAACGCAGTGTCACTTTTCCGCTTAAAAGTGCACGGGAACGGGACAGGATGGCAGTGATAAACCGGGTACCGACTGCTATGGACAGCCAGCCATGCGCCTAACCATAGCCAAACGCGGTACTTGTATGAGCGCTCTCACTTCTGGTTGTTCCCTACCTCTGATTGCGTAGTGTTGCGGGATTTTGGTAAGTGATGCACCTCCAGGATGGCACGGGAGGGGCCCGGAAGGGACTCGAGTATTACTACCCTTCCCCTTCTTCTCCATACATTTCAAGTGGCGAAGGTGTACAGCACGTCAGCATGACCTGTTCGCACATGGCACGGACCATCCTGGGTATAAGGGTACAGTTTGTCTTTAGAGGGGTCTTGACACTTGGGGCTTCCTGCGGATTTAACAACGACGCCTTCTATTGGCATCACCTTCGAGCAGTACTGACTTTGACCAAGTGAATGAACGATAATGTCACCATACCTCTTCGCCGTCAGCCGTGTGCGTGGGGATACCGTTCTCGTCCATCCCACTTGCTATATTTTCTCTCGGTCAATCGCCTCGCAGCAGAAACTCTCCTGGAGTAATACGTCTTGGAAGTGGCCGTCTTTCTCTGCTTTTCTCGAGCCGGCTTCCGCCTCTTTTCCTAAATTCGTCCTAGACAGTGGGTGTCGACTGTGAACATAGGCCCACAAATGCGACACTCCACTTCTCGGTCTTGCGCTTCGATCTGCTGTCGCTTTTTCCACATTCCACGAAGCAAAAATGTCACGGTCACATAGCTTCACCACTGTTTCCTGTCCTGTGCTCGATCCTCCAGTCGGACACCCAGTTCAGGGAGAACATCGTCTCGTAACCGGTCACATTCCTGTAAATGAAAACTTGCAGCGAATATGTAGGAATTACCCTTTTCAAATTAGTAAATAAGAATATGACAAAAGTGAATACCTCCAGAATGGCGGTCACTTTATTTTCCTTGGCGATATTCCTAACTTTCTCTCGGAAACTGGAGAGAGCATTCAGATAAGGCATCAGCATTTCTTCAGAGCCAACGCCTGCTTCTCTGAAAAATATTCTCCTTTTCAGTTCTCTTTGCTGAGCTTGATCAACTGCCTCACAGTTCAGAGACTTAGCGAGTTTTTCTAGTCAAGAAAGTGAAGTTTCATTTAGAAGAAAGAATAATCTACAAATAAGGGCGGATCACAGCTTGATAATTGACTTCTTTTTTTACTTGAGCCTAAGCTTTTTTTTATTGGTTCACTAGAGCGTATTGTCATTACCATCGCCGTCAAGCACAAAGAAACTGTAAACTGAAACGCAGGCCAGGAATTCACGTGCTGTTTTTTTTATACACTTTCAAACCTTATCCTTTGTAAATGGCAATGTAGCAGAGAAAACCTTCGAATGATCGAATATATACCATTTTCACTTTAAATTCACCCTTTTTCAAACCAAATTCACCCCTTTTCAAACCAAATTCACCCTCACTTTTCACATCAAATTAACCACACTTATTAGGGCGGGCAACTCATCAACCAGATCACGCCAGACATCACTGCGAGCCCGACGGCCACGCCCACTTGTCAGCGCGGACATAGATTCTCAAATCTTGTTTCATAACTTCTGCTTTTGCTGTTTCCCACAAACACTTTGACTGGAAACGACCGGGCATTGACACATGGCCGACTCCGCCCATTCTCTAA